GACCCTGGTGGTAGGGGTCTGGTTGTTGCGCATGACACATTGCCTTCTTATAACAAACATTTGTGCCAAGTTATTTCAAATTCCTTTGATAAATGACAAAGTTATGGACCGGACACGAAAGTGTAAAGGACGAACAGACAGATGGACGGACATACGGACGGAGCCTTTTTCTATATCCCCCTTTTTTCTTCAAAAATGCGAGACAATAAGAATAAAAGTTAAAGAAACTGTGTCATGACTGACTTTAAATTAATTGCTGCAAAAAAATAACTAGTTTCGTAAATGTGGTTATGACCAACGTCATAAGATCTTGTAATGACATGAAGAAATGAGAGGATGAATATTATTTTTTTTTTAATTAACTACATCATTTCTATTAATGGAACATGTCAGAATATATATTTTCATTTTCTGTTCTATAAATAAAACTGATAAACTTCATATGAGACTAGCATTAAAAAGTGAATACATGTATTTAATGCACAAGTCAATTATAATACAACACCTCAAAATAAAAGAGATTTTGACATTTGGTTTTTAAAACTCCTGGTAGTAACATGCTATATGCTGTTGGGCCGGTGTCAGATGATGTAAACCCTGCTAAATGCCCCTGAACTGTAAGTTGGATATATATTACAGAACAGAAAATATCCTCCCTACTTTAAGTCGTCTTATACAATAAACATATCTTTCACAAAGTGTCAAATTGTCACATTAGATCTAGTGTCAAAGTGTCACATTAGATCTAGTGTCAAATTGTCACATTAGATCTATACAAAATTGATTACACACTGTCATATGACAGATAAAGGCATGTACATGACTTTGATTAAAATGTACCATAACCAGTAAACAGAGATAAAATTGTTTAAACTATCAATAGTATTCCTGTCCTCCGATAGTGTGCATGAATCGACTAATTTTGTCACAGTTTTATAGATCTATATGTATTTATTATATGAATTTATACACAGTTTATCATTCTATAATTATATGATATATAATAATCATTAATTTATCAAGCACATATGACTATTTGATTATTATGTCACACTTTATAGATATTTAAAAATACATTAATCATGAGGACATATAATATTTTAACATATATTTCAATTATAAAACATTTACATTTAAGTGAATGAATCCATCATGGAAGGTATGTAATAGAATCTAAATCTTGATATCCCCAAAATTGATAATAGACCGTTCCATAAATTGAAGCTGGACTAGCCCATTTACAAACATTAAGTGGAGAGACACACATACTGTCTGGGTTAAAAAAAATATTTTGAATGCACATGTTGGCAAGGTATTATTGTCATGAGCATTTTAGAAATCACTAAAACTGATTTCACATGACCTTAAATACACTTCAATGCCCCATTTACCATACACATGTTTTAAATGCTAACTTGTGATTCATTTTATGGTCATATTATTTTAAAATCATATGATGTTTAATGATACAATTATTATACCATCATGTGCTCCACTAATAAAATTTAATTTTTACACTACTTCATGGAAGTAGTTGAAAAATTTGCACAATTTTTGTGTAGAATCATCCCGTGATTACACCATCTTAATGCAACAAATTTTCTGTAAAAAAATATTTATTATTTAATCATATCCTACCATTTTTAGCTTGACTATTCAAAGAATAGGGAAAGCTATTGTACTCACACAGCCATCAGCGTAACACATTGGTTTTTTTGCTTACAAATTGGTATCTCCTAAACTACAACAGGGAATGGGTTGAAATTTCACACAGTTATTTGAAAGAATAATAGGTCACTTTACAAGGCCCATAACTCAAACATGGATTTTAACAGAATTATGGACCTTTTTTGAACTCCTAACACTTGTTTTACCATCAAACACTTGAGAATAGTGGATCACTGTCCTACTAACAACTCTTGTAACTTAAAATCAAATTGAAACTAATTTTAACATAGTCCCTTGTGATTTTAAAAATCTGTTTTTTCCTGTAGCAGAATACTGATTGGATCAAATAATTGTTAGGAGGTTTAATCAAATTCCAACAACAGTACCTAATTTACTATTCCCTGTGACAAATTCGTTCTCTGGGATATAGATTTAAATTTCTTGAGAAGTAAAATAGTACCTCTATACGGCTACTTCTTCTCCAGTAATTTGTGTAGATAATTCAATTTTATCCTGTTTTAAATTGGGAACTGTCTAAGAGGGTAACAAAATCACCATGCAGCCCAAAAAGTATAGATCTGTCCCTTATGATAAGGCCAGAAAGTCGCCAGATCATGTCAAAGTACTGACGGGCATGTAGACAAGTCAATGTTGCTGATTGCATTTTAAGATTAAAACACCATGTGTGATGGTTTGTAGAAACATGTCGAGATGTGAAAATGTCTTTCATATTCAATTAGATGAATTCATTGATTATTAAACCTTCCACCTGCTGCAAACAACACTGACTTAATTCATATCCCTAAATTGATAATGGACAAGTTCATATAAGAATTTCAGCACGGTAACGGGTTAGTTTTCAATGAATTTGGTAAGGAAGTTCTATTTTCAATCTTGATATGCTGCAAATTACACTTTTACTAAATTGGAAAGTATATATAAAATGTCCTCTAATAGCAGACCTTTGTCTTTACATGTGGTCTTTGTAACACATATCTATAATAGGTCAATCAAATTCAAACTTTAACGCATGGTTTGATCCGGACGATAATTTTGGTTTCGAAGCGTACTTAAACACTGGAAATGCAGATTTCAATCGAGAAAATGGACCTTAAACAGAAGGTTAACGTACACCAACGCCATCCAGACGGTCATGACAATAGCTCTACTTTTTTCTTCTTCCTTAAGTGTTGCTCAAACAGGAAATGCTGAGGGGTCCAGGGTAGATGGTATAAAATCAGTAATCTTTTTTCTCTGTATATTTAGCAAAAACGCATTCATTTTTTTCTAAGACAGCTTTTATTTTAAAGATTAATGTTAAACAACAATAATATGAAGAAAATATAAGTATCCAAAATACATTATAAATAGGAAGAAGTTAAACTATGATAAAATCTATTTAACATAATTTGTAATGCAGTAGTAATTTTTAATATTTTACAAAAATAGATCTCTTCTCATACCAAAATACAGCGACAGTCAAACCTTTATACCTTAAGATGATTGCCATATGAGCCGCGTCACAACAAAACCAACTTAGTGGCTTTGCAACCAGCATGGATCCAGACCAGCCTGCGCATCCGCGCAGTCTGATCAGGAACCATGCTGTTCGCTTAAAAACTCTATAACAAGTAGAGAAACTGATAGCGAACAGCATGGATCCTGACCAGACAGCGCAGATGCCCAGGCTGGTCTGGATCCATGCTGGTCGCAAATGCATTACGTTGGTTTTGTTGTGACGCGGCTCATATATTTTTTCGGTTTACTTGAACCGTGTGAAATATTTAAATCAAGAATCAACAAACAAGGTTGCACCCTTTTTAAGCTTAAAAAAATAAAATTGTTTTCTTTTGTACTCCACATAAATTGAATAGAAAATTTAGTGAATATCGTTTAAAAAAAGCAAAACAAATTCAAAAAACACATTTTGAAAATTAATGCTCATAATTGACCAGAATTTAGAGTGATTCTAATATAAGACATACATGATTATACAACTAGTAATACAAAGTAAAGTAACAAAATTCTTTATATGAAAACAGAAAAGCCCACAAAAATGTAAAACTGTAGCAGAAGGAATGATGCAAATACTTTTCTGTAAGTTCAAATAACAAAACAAGCTTGGATTTACAAGAATATTTTGCCTGACTAAAGTATGCCACTTTCCTTTTATTCAAAACAAGGTCATTAAATTCCACTTTATGAGTACTGTATTCAGTCTTCAAGTGAAAGTATAAATTATTTTCACTTCACTTTCTGCTTAATGTCACTTACTGTAAACTGATTGGAAGTTTATTAAAGTTGTGTGTGTGTGTGTGGGGGGGGGAGGGGGGAGTGTCACTTGATTTATTTGATGCTAAATCATTAAACTGCGCTGACGTAGAGCAGGAAAACTACTTTGAGTGAAAGTCTAGATATGTCACTATTATACATGTAAGTGTACATATTATGTCCCTTTCCCCTCAAGATCATTTAAAATATATACATATGACTGTGTATAAATGACTTCTTGTCTCACACCTCACACCCTCATTTCTTTAAAGACATTAAGGTGTTCAATAGTAACTCAAACCAATATTTTTAGTGAAGTAATGTCCAAAATACAAGAAAACATCCCATAAACATATATTATTGTAATCATACTTTGTCAATTATTTTGCCCTACAAAATCACACATAAAAATCTTAAATGATATACCCCCACCCCTTAAACTTTAGACCCATTTTGTATCATGTAATAAGATTGCACAACTGTAAAAAATTTCTTCATGTGGGTTAAATTTCTGCCATCTGATATTTGGTTATCGCTAGCGCTGTATTAATTAATTGCTCATTCTCTCTGAAGACAGTTTCAAAACGAAATGAGAAACAACAAACAGTTATATAAAAACATGTAACATGAATTCTATTATATCACAAACTATACATTGTCTTCTCTCAGATGAACACATTTACACATGATTTCAACAGTTTTACTTAAAACATAAAATAAAGCAGTAAAAATATATTTCAACAAGTTTAACTTAGACAAGACCAAATATGTGAACCAGAAAAATTCTTGTATTAAATAATCTATTAAGATACAATTTAGAATTAAAAAAATAACTTATAGCCAAGGTGGGTACCAGCTCTTTGCAAGAGCTTGCAAGTCTCTGACAACAATATTTCAAAACAAGGGATTCACGGAGAAATGAAATGAATTTAATATTAATTGTTTGTTCATTCAATAAGGCAACATCTAAAGTCATCTATGGTACAATGTTTCTTTGTAAACTTCAAGACTCAGGGCTTGTAAATTCTGATTTTGACTCTCTTGTCCTGATTTATCTGAAGTTCTAAACTTATCCATAACATTAAGTATATTTGAAAAAATTTGCATTTGTCCGGGACAAACCATGGCAATATGGACAGTTGATTTTGCCGCTTCCGAGTCCAAGACCGAGTAAATTTTAACTTCAGAACTATTTTCTGTCTACCAGTTGTTTATATTGGAAATTTAATAAAAAGAAAGAATTGCCTCTATATTGCTTATTCAATTAAAATTCTAAACAGAATTTCTAAACAGCGAAAGAATTTATTTGTCACAACAAAAATGAGAATTCTATTTATAGATGACACAGTTTCAATACTGTTATGGTAAGTAAAACTGTTTTAATGCATCTATCTAGATATTATCATTGTTTTTGATGTGAAAATATGTATCCACTTAGCTGATCAGCACTGACAGGAGAAATTTCTAGAAATATCCCTTAACATTGACCTGTTTTGTTTGTTTTTTGGTAACATGTATCTTTGTTAAGAAATCTATTATCAAATTTGTCAAACACACACAAGAATTGCCAATTCAAGTTTATTACAAACCTTAACCTTAACCATAGAAAGCATGATGAAGAACTTTAACACCAAATTTAACTACTCCTTATTGAACGACAGCTCTAATTTCTAACAAACAACCACATATTACTTTTACTCCTGTGACCATAGAATTTCAACGGGCACTTTTTTCAGTGAAAATTTATTTAAGTTCCTAAGCAGGGTCAATAAATACCAAATACTGAAAGCAAGATAAGAAATTTTTGACTTGAAAAATTGAATATTGACTCGATATCATATTGACCTCAATAGAAATGTAAAGTTTCAGATTGTATAAGTGTTAAATATTTTTAACAAACATCGCTCACTAAATCGGTGAGCTTTAAATTTTATCAGTGATTTGGTTTTTGTTGAATTTTTTTAATGATTTTTTTTTCACAATAACTATTCCATCACCACAAAAGTTATACAGAAAATCCTACACTTAATGGAAAATGCTATAATTCCTTCAAACAATCATCCACTTTCTTTTCTTTTTCCCCTGTTGTTTGATTAGTAAATATTTAAACAGACTGGTTCAAAAATTATGTCTATTCATACACTACATGGACTGGATTACACAACTTCGTATTCCTTCTTGATAGCTCTTGCCAAACAGCATGCAAACATGATTCCAATTATCTGGAAAGATAAAATAAAAGCAAATCATGAAAATCTTAATCTGTAAACCTAAGCTTGAAAAAAAAACACATAGCATTGGTAAAAGATTTCTTATAAAGATAATAAAAGTTTATAAAACAATATCTAATGAAATATTTTCATAAACTGATAAACAATAATTAAGTTGCCATAAAGTAATGGTCCATTCTCTAAAGAGATGTAACATATGTTTCTGTTTTTAAACACCCATAAATACTTTACATAACCACATAATAAAAATGTATCCTAACAAATGATCAACTGCTTTAATTAAGGTTTAAACCAGTTAACAATAGCTTTATGCATGCACCATTTGCTTTTGGGGAATTCCATATATATAGAGGATATTCAAATTTTTTTCTATAAATACAGGATTTATTTTCATCGTGTGGAATGAAAATAAATATTTCACGAGTGGCAGTAGCCACGAGTGAAATATGATAATTTTCATGCCACAAGATGTAAAAAAATCCTGTATTAATGGAAACAAAACTTGAATTTTCTGTTAATTATATACTTTTATCGTTTTCAATCTTATTATTTGAAAGAATTCCCTGTTATTTAGAAAAAAAGTAGTCCTGCAAGACACCAGTGAAAGTACGGAAAAATATGTTTCACTGCAGTGAAAAATAAATTTTTACAGTGAAAATACGGAAAATGAAAATACACATTTTATTTCATCAATATTTCTCAATATTTCATTTGTATGTATATAATAAATAAATTTATTTCTTTCATGCAAATATTTTAGAATTATTCTTTTCAAAATTCAAACAGAACACTTCCAAACTTCAGGCAGCATTGATTTATTTATATTTCAATAAAAATATTAACGTAAAAATGGACTTTTTGGGACTTTGAAAATCATCTGGTTTGGAAGGGATTCCAGATTATGGAAGATTGCAACTTAACTTTGTATTTCAATACAAAGATATACATATATCTTCAACTGAGATCCTTATCCTGGTAGGATATATGTCCCTGCAGATTTTCTGTTATGGTTGATTAGTCATGTAATGAGAGACTTTAACAAAAATGTGATTATTAAATAAAAAAAGTGATATAAGATGCAAGACCTCGTCACAAAGTTGAGCATAAAGACAGGTGTTTCAAAAAAAGATTTAATTCCACTACATCAGACACTGCTTTTTCATTTCAGTTTAGCACTATGGTAGAATGAACTTTGGTGAGGAAGATGAAATTACCTGTAAAAAGGCGAATGCGACACCCACAGCCCCAACATAGTAAACATGATCTTCGACCCATGTCGTAAATTTATCCAGACATCCATCATGGTAGTAACTTTTGGTATCATTCAACGTACATCCACTAGTTGGTGATAGACAACAAGCTGATGGAAGGGTCTCACGGTTCCAGTCACTTGCATTGTGGATTCCGCAGCACTCGAATTTACTTTGTACCTTATCCCAAACAGTGGCATTCTTTTGAATATTTTCCTTCATGTATTTTTCTACAGTCTCCTCCACCTATAAGAGAGTTGTTGAATATGAAAATACAAATTCACTTCAAATTAATATACTAGTAGTATAGAAATAAATGCCCTCCAGTGAACTCTTCGAGCTCAAGTCTACAAATTTTATTCAGAAATCTCTAAAATGATATAATACTGCAATGATTACTGTCAATTACAAAAATATCAAGGAATACATTACATGTATGTAATATTCATTGCACCTTATGTGATTTACAAAAACAACAAAAAAAAAACTAAAAATCAAAAGCAACTTCTGACAAGTGAGTTAATATCCAACAATAAACAGTGTCAGAAAGATCATTCGGACATGTTAACATAAGGTTTGGTTTAGTTTTTACAATTTTATCTTATTTTGATTGTGTTGGAAGCTTTAAGCTTATTAAAACACTCCCAAATGATAATCCGTTCCTGGAAGCAACCAGTACTAAGCAGGGTGTTCACTAGCTATGTAATCCTGAGGGTCATTTTGACTACAAGGCAAAATCCCCATGATTTTAACAAAATTTGACCCTCAAGTTAAAATCCCAAGGGTCAAATCAGGCTTATAGGAAATTTGAAAGGTCAAAGGGTCATTTCAAGGGTCAAACGGACACCCTGACTAAGCAATGAATGTCAAGTTTCTTGCTCAAGGAAACAATGGCTTGCCCCTGACAGGGTTTTAACTTGTAAGGTCATTAGTCCTATGTGTTAACCACTCAGCCACGCGGTCAGTCTTCCTCCATCAGTACACCTTGGAAATCACCATACAAAGTTAATATCTCCTTTAAACAGACTTTCTAACAAACATATTTATTATTATTTTCCATCCCGAGTGTTAAATATACAGACCTGTCCTTTAAGAACAAATCCAGCAATGCCTCCTGCGATCTCCATAATAAAGATGATTACCAACAGACCAGCAAACTGAAATCAAAACATCAACACTTTAACCATTGCTATAGAAATCAATATGGTGCACAAACTGCTGACTAAAAAAAGAAATCGAAAAGTTGGTCCATTTGTCTGATTTTGACACAAACTGTCTTTGTACATTAAATTTATGACATTATTAATATATACAAGAAATCAGACAAAAATCTGCAGGGGAAATTCAAGAAATGCAATTCGGAAATGTAATGGCTTAATCTCAATAAAGGACAAAGTTTGTTATACAGAAAAATAATTCATTTCAACTTTCACCTCCACTTTAAACATAGCATATTAAATCAGGTTTGATTTGATGCTCGCTAAGAAAAGATTTACAATTAATATTCACTTTCAGTCACTAAATTATAAAGATATATTAAGAATGATCTTCTGTCATATAGTAGGGTTTAAATTTCAAGAACCCTCCTTTTCTCCAGCCATTTCTACAACTGTACCAAATAAGTTGTCAGTCATAAAAAGTAAAATGCCAAGACTTACAATTAGGACACATGTTCTGTTTTCTTTGTATGCTCCACAACATCCAAAGAAGGCGATGAAGAATATTATCACGCCCACTGCTATTAATAGCGCTGCCGCCGAACTAAACGAGCCTTCTATGAGGTCAAAATAATCTTTCAGGGCAATCTGTACATAGGCGCCAACCGCAATCAATGCTATGGCAACAAGCTGAAAAGGAATACCAAGAAAAATAGTTTAGCCATTAGACTGATTACATCATAAAATTTACATACTAAACAATGCAAATACTATAATTAGGCTGAAATGCATCAGTATTCATAGTATTAAAACTGTAGTGGGTAATTATTGTTCCTAAAGTTCAGCATATACAGTATGTATTATCACAAATTATACGTAAATCATCTGCTTCAACAATATAATTGAAAATACAAAGACTTCATGTACATGTATTTTTGGCTTGTCTACACAACAAATTACATCTATTATGAGTAATACTGGCCAAATATATGGTTCTTTACATCATTACACTCTATATCTACAAGCATTCAGTATACGTTTTTAGATATACATTGTATGAGCTTTACTCTGCTGAACTTGGTAGATGGCTTAAAATTTGAGAAGTTCATTTACATGTACACATATACTACACTACAATGTAGTTAAGTTTTATCAAGGCCATCCTTAAAAAAATGTTTGTTTGCAGTAACCCGACCCAGAATTTTCAAGGTGGGTAGGTAGGTCGATTTTTTTTTTTTTTTTTTTATTGAACTGTACTCTCAAAAAAACATTGAATTTCAAAATGCAGGACAATATATGCTTTGATAATCTGGTAACAATTAATAACTTGATAACTGAATTCTAATTTAATAAGAACTACATGTTCTTTCTTCTATTAACCTTTAAAAGAACGAAAACGAAGCACAAGACATAATTTTCTGATTCAAAAAAAAATAATTTTTTTATCCAGACCATGAAAAAAAATTTGAGTAGGGGCAAATTTTGTGAGTCGGTCGCGTTACTGCAAACAAACATTTTTTTAAGGATGGCCCAATATAAAGATATTCAAATTAAACAGTTATTGTATTTAACTCACTATACTTTAGAATGGAAGATTATGTTAAATCTTCAATGGATTTCATGCTTTAAAAAAACAATAAGAAATCAAACAATAAATTTCTTACTTGATTTTCTCCATAGGAGAAAAATGTAGGAAATTACAGTAAATTGCATGAACAGTTCAACATGTACATGTATCAAGAGAATTTTTAAGGCCAATTTGGGGCTGAAATTGCCTTTTCTGCAATTATTGTAATTATTTGGGAATTTTCCCTTAAAATTATGCAATGGTTTTGGGCGAATTGAAAAATACAAACGTATATAAGAAATTTTCCAATGCTGCATGGAAAGGGTTAAAATTGAAAAACAAATATTGTTTTAACAGGACAAGCAAAACAATCAATTTGATTTAACATTACAGATCAAAACTAAAGCTATATAGAAAATAGCAATAGCGGATTTAAATTTCACATACATGAATTACAATTTAATTGGAAATCTACCAGGGAGTTTAACTACAAACATACAATGCCTTATTGATAAAGAAGGTCGAAAATAAATGATCCTACAATACGGTCGTGACAACGCGTCTTAAGTCATTACACAAATATCTTTGGTATTACTAAATAATGGACTCTTTATATCTGTACAAAAATACATGTAGCTAGTACATGAATTGTATTGATTTGATGTCTAAAAATATTCTGGTATTTTATATCACGCCTAGATATAGAACAATTTCATTTAAGTCACAAGAAAGGTGTATGCCATCTTTTAACTCACTACCTCAATACCCTACACATCTTTAAAATGGTTGTCTTCAAAACTTTATCTAGACTTAGTCTAGCATTGATGATTCAAATACCATACACCTGATGTTCTATTCAATTTCTGAGGTCATTGAAGTACATTGTATTACTGTTATCTTATAATTCTTAAATTAGATGAAAACGTCTATGATTATAATATATGTGTCAGTGAGAACTAAACACCCAGCCTTTATTTGACAACTCACTATTGCTGAACCATTTTACCTCCTACATGTATATGTCAAAACTGACCAATGTTCCTATTAACTTGAATACTTCACACACAAAATTGCCAATTTTATCTCAGTCAATCTTGTATATACTGAATTTCCACAGTAAAAGAGAAATTTATGCCAGTTTTAGTATCAAAACCTTTTCAGAGAGCAAATGTGAGGTTAACCGTTACAGTTAATACTGTTTAAGCAGAGGTTGAAGTTTCAACATTACAGCTTCATTGATGGAGAAAACTAGAAATGTGTCATCATGCCACGGATGCCCCCGCATGCAGCCAAAATTTCAGATGTTATAATATTTAGTTCCAAATTTGTTTGCACAAATTATTTTTTTCATTTTAAGTTCAAAGCCCTTAAAACTTTTCAATGTTAACACAAACCATTTTCATACAATGTTCAAGGCACTGAAATTATTCTGTCTAAACCTTTTGAAAATAGCATATTTCATATTTGTAGCCAAAATAATGGCTACATTCATTTCAGTGCTGAAACTGAAAGTTCAAAATTTTTCCAACATTCAAGAAAGATAAGTTTGTCCAAAATCATTGAACCACGACCAAATTCAAACTTAAACTGCTTATTCCTAAGATGTATCTATATTATTTTCAAAGTGAAAGGGACATAACTCTGCCAAAAAATCATCGAACCATGACCAAATTCCATCTTGACCTGCCCATTCCTTTGACATATCCATATGTCAAATTTGAGTAGTTGGGTAGATAATGAACAGAAACTGTAAATTTCATATTATTTTCAAAGTAAAAGGGGCATTACTCTGCCAAAAATCATTGAACCATGACCAAATTCCAACTTGGCCTGGGCATTTCAAAAACATATCCATATGTCAAATTTGAGTTGAATGTGTTGTACCGTTGGGGAGATAATAAACAGAAACTGAAAATTTCATATTATTTTCAAAGTGAAAGGGGCATAACTCTGCCAAAAATCATTGAACCATGACCAACTTTGAACTTGACCTGCGCATTCCTGTGACGTATCCATATGTCAAGTTTGAGTTAAAAGTGTTGTACCATTGGGGAGATAATGACCGGAAACTGAAATTTCATATTATTTTCAAAGTGAAAGGGGCATAACTCTGACAAAAATCATTGATCCATGACCAAATTCGAACTTGACCTGTATCTTCTCACGATATATCCATATGTCAAATTTGAGTTGAATGTGTTGTACTGTTGGGGAGATAATGAACTGAAACTGAAAATTTCATATTATTTTCAAAGTAAAAGGGGCATAACTCTGACAAAAATCATTGAACCATGACCAAATTCGAACTTGACCTGTATTTTCTCATGACATATCCATATGTCAAGTTTGAGTTGAATGTGTTGTACCATTGGCGAGATAATGAACGGAAACTGAAAATTTCATATTATTTTAAAGTAAAAGGGGCATAACTCTGCCAAAAATCATCGAACCATGACCAAATTCGAACTTGACCTGTATTTTCTCACGACATATCCATATGTCAAATTTGAGTTGAATGTGTGCAACCGTTACTAAGATAATGAACGGAAACTGATGATGACGGAATGACAGAATGACGGAATGACGGAAGGACGGAATGACGGAAGGACGGAATGACGGAAGGACGGAATGACGGAAGGACGGAAGGACGGAACAGGGTAACACTATATGCCCCAGCCATTACATGGCGGGGGCATAAAAAACTTCATTGTTTTCATTGTTCCTGGGGAAAGGCCTGGTTTACTCTATTTCTCGCATGCATTCAGGTGAGAAATAGAGTAAACCAGGCCTTTCCCCAGGAATTTTTAGGCACATTGGCAAATTTCGCAGAAATGGGGGTAGGAGGGAGACACCCCCCCCCCCCCTCTGAGTCTCTGACATTCAAAAAATTTTCTATTGTTCACTGCAGCAAAATATACTGTATTTAACTTAAGAGTGAGTCTTCAGAAACAAAAAGATAACAGATAAATGATACTTTTAACCATTTTTAATACAAAATTTGACCCTCCTGTTAAAATCCTGAGGGTCCAATCAGGCCATCTGGAAGTTTAAAGTGTCATTTCAAGGGACAAACGGACACCCTGCAAGTTGTTAACTCCAACACTCTTTTCCGGGAAGAATGTTACAATTGAATAGTGCATTATTTTAACAATTTTCGATTGACAAGTATATTACTATGCTCCTCTTAGTTCACAATACTTAACACTTTAAAAAAGTAAAGAACACAAAGTGAAACAATACAATTACACTACAAAAACTGTATCATTCAGTCATTTTCCTGCTTTATGACACAAGGAAACAACAATATATTCAATCAAAATTAGTTTTAATTTGTCAGATGTAAACCATGCGTCGGCCATTTTGAAAACAGTATGTCATCATTTACCTCGCGGTAATGGTGTTTTATATCAGTTTTACATGTATCAGTTAGAATTTCTTTAAGTTATTTTGCATAATTTTAAATATTAAAAATATTTTTACATTGTAACTCAATTTTTATTTTTTCAACAAACAAGAACACTTAGAAAATGATGATTGTTTCAGACGTATGCACAAATTTAATGGACTATTGTTGTTTTTTGCAGAAGTTTGTAAAATGTTGTTCAGTTTTATGTAAAAATCTATAAATTTAAATTATTTTGCACAAAAACTTTGTTGTTAAGGTGTTTGAATAAAATATGTCAATTCTGACCAATTATAACAATGGTCACATGAAAATATGCCATTACCGTGAGATAAGTGATGACGCGGAATTAGTGATGTTGAGTATATTTCTAAGAATTATGGTGGTTTCGTCGAACTACCGGTTCGGCTAACTTAATTTATGAAGAGGTGCGAAAGTGGTTTCGTCTAACTTATGTTATATAGTAATAAAGGGCAAAGTAGACGTGGTTCATATATATAGTGATTTTATATATGAGCCGTGTCACGACAAAACCAACATAATGCGTTTGCGACCAGCATGGATCAAGACCAGCCTGCGCATCCGCGCAGTCTGATCAGGATCCATGCTGTTCGCTTACAAACTCTATAACAAGTAGAGAAACTGATAGCGAACAGCATGGATCCTGATCAGACTGTGCGGATGCGCAGGCTGCTTTAGATCCATGCTGGTCGCAAAGCCATGATGTTGGTTTTGTCGTGAAGCGGCTCATATATTTATTTATGTATATGCAAATATAATAAAAACGTTTAAATCATAGTTTTATATCTATTGAGTGGTGAATAAAGAATTAAAACAGATTGTTGTTCATTACATAGAAATCATGATGTATTCTTTTGAATAATATGCATACCTCATTCAGGGAATTCCCCAGGCGCTTTTAGCGCATCGGCACCGATGCGCTAAAATTTCAGAACAAGAAATCCCGATGCGCTTAAAATTATCATAGCGCTTTAAAAAATGACCGATATCCCTTTCTTTTGTGTCTATAAGTTAACCCCAATTAGCCCCATTTAGCCAAATAAACAAGCCAATATACATGTCCTGTGTAGATAATTACCCGAGGCGTATACACAACCCGATACACTGATTGCCTTTCGACTGTGTGACGTCACAGACACCTGTCATCGATGTCTGCAGACGACTGTTGGTGCACTTTCAGGTGTTGTCAATTACCGTGTATTGAGATGGGTGCAATTAAACGCGGCATGTGTGATATTTACATGTTTCAGGTAGGTGTAAGTAATAGAAAAAGCACCGAAACACGAGGTTATCTGATTTGTACGAGGGGGGCGTAGCCCCCCGAGTATTAATCAGATTACCGAGTGTTTTGGTGTTCTTTCTCTTTTGTATCATAGTCAAACATAAAAACACGTTCCCTGTTGTTACAATATGAAACCCCGGCAAAAATGAACCAATGAACGAGCATCTAAATATGACATTTCTGTCGATTTCACTTTCACTGCCGTCACAATATGTAAACCCCAGCAAAAATGAGCCAATCAATGGGCATGCTCTGGAGTGCGGGTAACAAATACCCGCACTCCAGTTAACGCACTGTGCATGTATATGTAAAGGATTTAACCCTGACACATTTTCAACAGAAAGGTCTCCAAACTATGATACAATAACTTTTATTGCTTTGATAATATAATTGGCATTAATTGACATGCGATATAACAGTTTGATATTTAGGTTCTTTGTCTTAATATAAGTGTAATGTTCAATTTCATCTTTCATCTTTCTTATGATCGTTACGTCTAAGCAGTACTGTAGTATTAAGATTTCAAAAAAATAATATGTCTAACACGAATAAGGGAAGCCTAGTTCACTATCAATTTTAAGAGGTTTTTTTGTGAGCAATGTCGTTGAAGCTGTCTCAGGATCATTTTGCTTTTTTTTACTCTTGAATTAAACTGCATAGATATTCAGAAATAAATTTGGAAATTTAAAACATTGAAAATATTTACGACTGTTCATTATCAACTTGCAAATGAGTGAAAACAACAACAAAAACTTTACATCCACAATCCCACTTAGTGACAGCCAATTGGTCATTTTCTTTTTTAATTAAAAAAATATCTAAAATTATCTTGTAATCTGTTTCTGTTCATTGAATCCCCAAAATGAAAAAAATATTAACTTTGCAGGCCCTCTTTATTCGAGCCTGTTCATGGACAGCTTTGTGAAGTGCAATCTACTGTCCTACTCCTTAGCATTGGTTTGTCAGGACATACAGGAGCTGGCCTGCAGGCACTTTGGTGTAGATATGGAGCAGTGCCGCAGCCACTGGCACCAGGTACGTGCCAGTCTAGAGGGGACTGATCAGTCAGCCGACCAGACCATGACCTGGATTACTGGCAACCTTTCTACCAGTCATCCAGCTCTTTACAGAATTGCTGCTGTGGGTCTCCTCCTCCCAACCTCTACTGCAGGTAAGCATTATTAAATTCATTCATTCTTGAACATTAATGAAATTCCAATGACAGTTGCAGATGTGTAACACTTTGCTAGATGTTTTTCAACATTTCAAATATAAATTTTTTTACTTAGTTAAGTTTAAACAGGCTGGAAGTTTGAAATTTTCAAATATTCACATCAAACAAACAATATAAATATAAGACAGGAGGTTAACATAAATGATTACTTTCATTTATTAATTTCAGATTTTGAGCGAGGATTCAGCTGCCTGAAGAGAGTTAAGACTGAAAACAGGAATTGTCTCTCTGTTAAAGTTCTAAACTATCTTCTTGCGTCTCCCTGCAAGGACCCCCCTTAGAATCTTTCAACTTTGAGAAGGCAGTCAAGGTATGGAAGGACAACAAACCTAGAAGACAGGCCCTCTTTTAATGATGTTAATGAAGAAAAAACAACTGAAATATACTCATTTAAATGGGACACACACATACACATGTACATATAAATGTTGATCACATTTTGTGAACTTGTGTTTATATATAATTGTTTATTTATTTGAATTGTTGGAAATGGAAAAAGTAAATAATAAAAATTAAGAAAATGTTTATCAAGTGAAAAGCTTTCATTATTTGTTTTAAAACAGCCCACAGCAGTATCTTGACACCTTAAATGGCAAAAATTTTCTCTTTCAAGTTTTATTTTTGTTAGTAAATATGTCGATTGTATTCCGCTTAAAAGCATTATTTTTCAGCTTTAACTATTTGTATATATAGTTTGACATAGATTATAAAAATAAACTTGTGTGAAAAGTAATTTGTGTTGACTCTTGAGTTTTTCTTTTCAGGTTGTACTTTTAAACGTATATATATTTGATGTTGTTTGTTCACTGAGATCATGTGTTTTTATTTTATGTAAATATCATTATAATACTAAAGAAAAGAATAAATAATATGTTTAAATTTTCAATATCTTGTCTTAAATTGCATGAAAATGTGTGAAAAACCACACATTAAGACCCGCAATAATTGATGTGCCCATTATATCGTCCGGTCATGTGTTTTGAGGCTCATCTATTTTGACGCCATTTTTGTGATGACCTAACAAATGACGAAAACGACCTCGCATGACGTCATAATTTGCTGACTGCACTGCAAGCATGTACTTACAACAAATAACTAAAACATGTGGAAAGACAGAGACATTTCACTGAAAATACTTCACCTTTATCAAATTTACTGTATTTTTTCATCTTTTTACTAATGCAAATTCAATCAATGTTTATGCAAGCCATAATTTTGTAAATAAAGCCTTTGAAAAATCTTGACCTGCCCTTTTCTGTTTCTATCTTCCATTTTAAATGTCTTATGAGTGTCATGTGACCAAAATTCACTGTAGCATAAGGTGTACAGCTTATATTGTTTGAAAACGTTAATTGGTTTTTAATTGATACTGAGTAAAATTCATAATGGGTTAACTATTGTATATAAAGTTTAAAAAAGAAAGAAAAAAATCATTTTTTCAAATCAACATATACATATCTTTACAACATCTTTCATTTTAGATATATTTTTCAGCCCTGTAAGCCAAATACAGATGCTATTCATCAAGATTAATGGTAAATACATTCAAAGTGAAAGAGACAGGTGCACCTATTTAGACCACGGCTAGGGTGTATGGCATTCCTAAATAATGGACAGTTTTATATGAAATAAAACATAATTTTAAGTTTTCACGATGTTGTTTCATTGCAGGTTTGCTCATTAAAAATATTCTTTTGCTGTTCATATTACATTACAGTGAAATATCCTTTTAAAATAACCACCCAATGAAAAGGCGTCATTTCATATGACTGTAAACAGCAATGGATGCCTCCACGGTCTGTTTACTCAAGTACAAAACTTAACTGATTTTGAATTTTTAACAAACATAAAAATGGTTTGCAGTGATAAACAACATGCCATAGTAACTTTATATTGTATATCATTTAATGATCAAGTTCAATATAAAAATTGCACTAGTTAAACAACTTAAGGGCGTCAAAACTAATGACTCTAGGATACAATAGCTTTTGTTCAATATATAAATTAAGTTAGCCGAAACCACTACCTGTTTTACTATAGAAGATCAGTTAGACGAACCGGTAGTTTGACGAAACCACTCCCACCCTATTTCTAATTGGTCCATAAATTTGGAAAATGAAAATACTGAAAACTGTAATTTAAAATCATTTTCCTACATAATCTTATCGTTAAACATAATGAAATTTGTCACAAAAACCTGATCTTCAGGCAAATGCACCAATGTTGGTCTAGAAGCTGACCACAGCTTTTATGGTCAGTTTTTTAATTGATGGACATTCATTTAACATACAGATCTACATTGCCATTGGGACTATTTCAGAGGAAAATCATGGCAAAAATTAATTCAACAAATTTAAAAAGTAAAATATGCCAATTTAAACAAAAAAAATTTGTACGAGACATCAATCGCTGAAACAATGTTACAGTATTCACGAATTCGAAAACCTAGCTAAATGCCGTTTTCCGGTACTTTCTGTACATAGCTCTGGGGAATTCACGTAATGGAGTGTAATAACGAACTCGAGATGTTTTTGGAGTTTTTTTTATTAAAGTGAAATAAAACAGTTATTTCTTTGAATTGATTTTCATTATACACAATTTTATTTTTTGAAAAATTTGCAATAGATATTAAAGGAATATTGATATATCACAAATACATTAAATTTTTTCACCTTAAACGGTAAAATAATGATAAAAAATAGAAATATCATGTAACTGTGTTATGTACTTCATTTGGTGTAATTCCCCAGAGCTTAATCCGCAACGTACCGGAAAACGGTGTTTAGCTAGGTTTTCGAAAAGGTCAATGTTGTAGGGACAATGATGATGTGGAGCTTCTAAACTGTTGATTTTCGATCGACGTTTGTTTACAAATCATTAAATGTTGGTATCCTTTACTTACCACAAATATAAGATTGAATCCCCAGAGGAGAAATTTAACACATTTCATTCCACCTTCTACCATTGTTAATGCTTTGTTTTATTTAAATAACCACTGTAATAATAAAATTATGCTTAATTTTTCACCCTGTAAAATCCGTGAACGAGGAACACACTAGAATAAATATTACGCCAAAAAAATCTAAGTAAGTAGTTCCAATGTTCTTTTAAAGTGTTCAGATCAATATACCATTAATACTAAATTATAATCTCAATTTATTGTTATAATATACACCAAAAGTTATCTATATCTATTTCGAAATTACCGTGTGATCAAAATGACTCACAATTAATATGTTTACTTTAAGAATGCGTTATAACACAAAAAAAAATAGTCCTGACTAAACGTCACGTGCCGCATACGGCCTACTGAGTAATACTGCTTACGTATGTAAATTTATCAGATATTGTTAGGGACGTTAAACATAATATTATTTAAATATATATAAATAAATAAATAAATAATAGAAAAAGATCTATTTGGGCATGGTTGTTTTAGCTTTTTCCGGGATTTCAATATCTTTTGAAGAAAATAACACTTTAATTAGATCTAGTCCAATAAAGTATTCAATATAGAATGTAATTAAACTAGTAATATGAAAGTAAATCACAAACTTATGTTTTAATACATATCTTTATTTGTATTAAATCGATAAATTGAAGAGGAGAAGAATTGCATAAGACATATTAAATTGTCTTTCATTCTAATAATGTTTTTAAGAATATTTGAAATGCTTGTATATTGAAATGTATATTGTTAATTGTAATTAGCATGCATACATTGAGAAATTATATATGTTTAAACTTAATTGGATCACGGACTTTAATTGTAATATAAATCCGCATAGAATACCGAAAATGCAGTAGAACTTTATAAAGTTGTCAATAGCCTACCCGCGTAGCCATATTAATGGGCAGCACTGTCGATATTTAAAATAAATAAATAAAAAGATAAATAAATAAATAAATAAATTCAAATTTAAATATACAATTAAACCTTAAGTAATTATAATTAACATTAACTAATTAAAGCAGTCTGATTCCATATAATGCTTTTATTCAAAATCGTCAAAATGGGCATTTTATCACATGGTGTATTACAGCTGCGTTACTGATTATTACTTGATATGCCCATCATTAACCCATTTTACATTTACATGTCTTAAATTTTTGTTTGATGGTGTGTCGATCCAGTGATGATTTTCTCAAGCGCCATTGCTTTTAATAATGATGCTATTTGATGTAGGGTTAAATTAAACTTGTTAGACCAGTAACTTGTGTTCATGCACTCCAGAATGTGAAGAAATGACCTTACACTTTACTAAGAATAGCACACACATACGATTTTCGATCTACATGTATTTCTGAGTACATTTATTATTTATTTTTGTATTTCATTTCATTCTGTTTTGATATTAAAATTTAAGCGAAGCTGTATCACATTTAACTCCCCTGTACATGCAAATATGAACTGAAGAGTCATCTCCCTTGGAATACCTGCCGTTTCACAAATAATTACTGTGTAAAAACATCACCAAACATCCTCAATTTATATGGCCAAATGCACCATTTGCATCGCAGGTGTTCATTACAGTCGTGTCACCAGGTAAATGCACATATCGTACCGTGGCGTTTGTAGGATGCTGCAACAACACATTATATACTGAGTATATTTTCTATGGTCAAGGGTGTTTACTTCTCAAAAATGGGGCTGCAGGTGTTCAAGCCCTACTTCAGCTCTTTGGTCATGCCAATATTTCATCGCATGGTGCCATTACTTGTTCCAGGCTGCAGTCTCGAGTTTGTTTCATATTAATTGCAAGACTGTTAAAAGTTTACTGAACTAGACTATATTTTGCATACATATTACATGAATTAGTTACAATTTATTCAGTGCAGCAGACGAACACCATGTCAGAACGCCGACAATCGTTATGAGTATTTAACAATTCAATTTACTCCATTTACCAACGAATCTTTCCTGCAATAGGTTGTTCTTCGGAATTATCTCTTCAAATCTTCGTTTTGCGCAACATCGTACATTTGATTTGGCAATTTTCGGTCATTGTTTTGAAGGCACGTTCGGGTATTTTTTGCAGGAAAGTGGTAAGTACATTGTGCATTAGAAACATTTTTTGGTTGGGTTTTTATGTCGCACCAACACATTATAGCTAATATGGCGACTTTCCAACTTTACTGGTGGAGGCCTCGGATGCCCTTCCGTGCATTATTTTAGTCTCGAATAGAACCACTGACGTTCCGTAAGCTAGCTTGATACTTCCTCATATGATAAAATCCAACGTTCATGTCGGGATTCGAGCTCATATCGGTTAGGGGCAAGTAGTTAGAAAGCAACGACCTTAACCACTCGCCCACGACGCCCCTTAACAAACATTAGTAAAAGTACTAGTAAAAATATTAAAATATGTATAAATACATGTATATAAGTTTAAAATGGAACTTTTGTTAATTTTTATCATATTTGTAAGAGCGCACATGATCCATATTCGTTCAAAAGAAGCATGGCCTTCGTGGCACTGTATAGTTTTTCCATTACAAATGGACCACAAAAATGTTTGTTTAGGTTTTTTTGTGTATTGTCCAACAACATTGACCTGGAACTTCATTAACTTTCGTAAAGGTCGTTTGAATAAACACTAACCAGTAACTATCGAATATATCAATATATTTGCTTACTTCACTCGTCTGTGAGGTGTGGTGAATTTGAATAGATGTCGGACTACCAATCTGAAGGTTTCTGGTTCAATACCTTACCAACACCACCTTATGATTTTTTTTAATTTAATTGCAAGAATTAATTTTTTCTGCACCTGATTTAAGAAACCTTTTAAGTGGTGTTTTTATACAAAATTAAATTTCTTTCAGTACAGTAGCTTTCAACGGTTGTCTTTGTGACATTATGCAATCATATATTCTTTAGCGCATATATACACGCTTTAAAGGAAGTATTAGAATAGTACATACAACAAAATTGTTTGCAATAGTTCGAAGAGAATGCAATTTTAAAATAAAAAGAAAAAAATAAATTGCTGAAATTGGGTTCGAACCTACCAGTTTATGTCTACATTTTTCATAAAACCCCTTTACCAACTGCGCTAAGAGGGATTTTTTAATGTACATCATTTTAATTGGATATTTAGATTTAACTTAACCAATAACGTAACTTCTGAAATTAGTATACTTTATGTTTTCATCACCTTTATACAGGTATTTTAAAGGCCTAAAGAATGAATGACTTTTTGTATCTGTAGTAAGGTCAAGATATCAAACTTAAATGATTGTTACCTGCCAGAATATAGCACTGAATGTAAAATAATTTGCGATAAAGGTAGCGATAAGATTTTGTCTTCCACACAAAATGCTAAATCATTTTAACTGTAATAATTGCCATAACAGAAAAAGTGGCTATTAAATTAAAAGATTCAGCTTTTTGTTTAATGAGTAACCTTTTGCAATTTAACAGGAAAGCAAAAATGAAAAGCTTTAGAAAAAATGCATTTTTAAGGTAAAATGGGCCTTTTCAAATAAACACCACAAAATATAAGACTAATGTTTGGCAACTAAACATCAATGTTGCGATGACATCCATGTCCTATAGACACAAGTTCAGTTCTATACGTACAATTATATGTTATCTTGAAATTCTTTTTTAGATCAGTGACCCTTTTCAGCACGGGGGAGGAAGTGTTACACGAAGGATGGAGTTCTTATGATAACTTGTTTGGAGTTCTTATGATAACTGTCACAGAGTTCCTGGAAAATGGTACGGATTTCTGTGGAAAACTTTTCTATATACTTGGAGAACTCGCCTAAAAAATGGTTATTTTTAACTTTAAATGGGGAGTTTGAGGTGCTAAATTAAACTTTGATAATTAAGCTTGCCCTACATATTGTATTTTGTTTCAGAAAAAATCTTTTAGTCCATATTTTGTCGCCTTTTTTTAAAAAAATCTGGAAGTTTTGAGAAAAATTACCAAATTACTTGCTAATTCGTACATATTGACCTTTTCATTTGTGATCTTCTTCGTTGCTATACTTAATTACCTAATTATTATGGAGAGTTGCAAACATAAAGCCCGGGCTAATAAATTTATACCCGATTTTTCAAATGTTACGGAGTTCTTGCGATAACTCAAAATATGTCCTGGAGTTCTTATGATAACTTTTGTTACTGCCAGTGTGTTTTTGTGCTTAATCACGGCGCGTTTAAGCGTATTTTATTAGACAATAAGTGTGTAAATCATTATGAAGCATAGTACGCTTATTATTTGCACAAAAATTTGGTTATATAACGTTGGTTTTGATCGTGTTTTTCAGTTCAAGAGATATTTTTCTTACCTCCGTTTCTTGTGTTTTTTGTGTTTGTTTTGGTCTTTTTGTGTGTGTGTTTTTTATATTTTATTGGAATGACTGTAAACATACTTGATGTAGAGCATTTACTTACAGGATAAAAATACGCTTTGAATCGTGTTTCGTCATATATACATTATTCCTGGCAGTTTTAGAGAACATTAAGTAACTATGCTATCGGTATGCATATAAATGGTTTTCAGCAAAATAGGAGGTAGTATGCACTACCTTTATCTAAATTTAATGAGGTGGGTGTCGTCTTTATGTTTCAACGGGTATTTCAATTTCTAAAAGGTATCAGTTTTTGTCATAGAAACGTATCAAGTTATATGACAATGATCACGGTGCATATCCATATTGGTACCCTCTTTGCGAAATCTGCTCAAACGGTACCCTCTTCGAACATGCACAGGTCATTCTCTGCTAAAAACAAACCAGCGATGGATAACAATCCAGTAAAATTTCATTGTAATAAGGAAAGGAGGTATGACACGTAGAAAAGATGTATACCACGGAACACTAGAATGTTTTATTTATGTGCTGATTTGTCATGTGTACGTTTTTCATGTACTGCAAATTCACAATAAGCTACAAAAAATCGACATGTCTTGCCTCGCCCATCACATCGACATATTTTCGGGCTGAAATGAACCTATGGCTTGATTATATATGCATCACACATATTTAATATGTTCATATACATATCATCTTCGGACAAATGGCAGTATATATTGTCAAAAATAAATGAAAAATTCATAAAAACACCCTACTTTCGGTTTTGCAGCGGCACGGGCTACCTCTCTTCATTTGAATTTTCATATCACAGGTACCCTCTCATATACTTTTATGTGTTAATCGCTAAGTATGTAATATTTACATAAAAGTAAGAAATATTACATACATACTTAAC